TAACCTAACCTAACCTAACCGAACCTAACCCAACCCAACCCAACCCAACCTAACCTAACATAAGCTAACCTAACCTAAACTAACCTAACCTAACCTAACCTAAGCCAACTTAACCTAACCTAACCTAACGTCGCAAATGGAAGTAATCAAAGTGAAAAATTTAGAAAAAGTAATTGCATATAGAGTGATAAAATAACACGCAAATTAATACATAAATCAATGAAATGATACAAACGACGTTAAAAGTATATGAGATTGATAATGTAATTAAATCCAAATATGCAAATTAATTAAGCGAAATCAAATGACGGCTTGATGAGCGGCTACAGAACGCATGAATAACGACAATATTTTGTGACGTGGCATTGCAATTACGTACAACACATGAAGTAACATATGCAAATGCGTCTCTTAGCATCACGTGACACATAATAAAATCCTATACTGACTGTCAGGAAACTCACTCCGGAGAATTCTGAGGTCGTCGTCTCCTTGACTAAAGCAAGACGGAAATGCTCCATGACGAAATGGCGTTCGACGTTCCTTCTTGGAACAGGGTCATGTAAACTCTCTTTCTCTCAGACACTGCCGCAGTTATTTTCGTGAAAACGTCAATCGTGTATAGTACGACGTATATTGAAATTAAACAAAATTTTTGTTTTGAATCGTTTAATTCATTTGCAACTTACATTTATTGAATACAGGGTAGTGGTATGAGATGTAGGATACATATGGCTTCGAAATTATTTGAATACCTCTTGCAAATGTCAGATCTATACAAGTTTACAAGTATACGAGTTGTCCGAGCGCGCTTACGTTGCCTATATTCGCGGCAGTACTGCGCGTTGGTTTTGGGTCCGGGCCCGGCGTTTTAGGTGTCATTCTCTTTGCAATTTTATGCTCTACGCATTCGTGCGCGATTTTTGTAATTCTGGTTTTACTTTGCCCTCATATATCGCGACATTTTAAGAAAATCGGGAAATTTTCAAACTTTTTCAAATTCACAGCCTCGTATCTTTTTTGAGTTTTTGAGATACACACTTGGAGGCCAGGATGAGTTGTAACATATACACCCCTCTTCAAAACAACACTTGGCTTACTCGGATCGGATAATTAGTCTCTTAGATATGATCCCGTTTATGGACACAGAATCTAGATTGAATTGTCCGTCATTAAAAAGTATTATTCAGCGGTTCCCTTGAAGTTACTTCCTGGACCACCGGGATTCCCAGATAAAGTGGAACAAGCGACTGTAATATGTCCAACGGGGAAATATTTTGCTCTCAGCCCAAATTTCTATGGTTTACACGTAGAACGCGCCTCTGTTCCTACAGACAGAAGCCAACGCCCGCCGCCTCCATCTTCCCTCGTGCAATGTAATCATCATCAATCTCAATTTCATTAAGTGGATCCTTCCAGCTGCGAAGGAGCTCGGTCATCCTCTTGTACGACGCGCTACATCGCTACAGTCAAGAAGAGGTTTCAGTAAATTCTTTGAGCCTGCCTCTTTACTGCAATTTACCGCGACGAGTGAAATTTACGTTTACCACCTCAGTTCTCGTTTCCGGGATATAATTACGAACACGTCTAAAAAAGGTTTCGTCACATAAACACGCGTACGAATTAAAATGCCTTTACTTTAGTTATGTGACTATTTAAAATTCTCCACAATTAATTACACCTACAGAAAATAAAATATCCCTCTCAAAGAGGGCAGCTTTACGTCTAATCAGAACCCTTTTTTAAGTCAGTAAGATGAGAAACCAGCCAGGGTTTCAATATCTGATCAATGCCGTGGCCACAACAGTCCACATCTCAAACCCTACTTCCTTCAGGCACACTCTAAAATTGTCCTGTCATCTACGATTATGTCTTCCCAGTGGTCTTTTCCATTCAGACTCTCTAACCAAAACTGTGCACACATTTCTCATCTGCCTATGCGACAGAACACGTGGAATGAACGACTGTCATAAGACTTTCGCTTCAAATAAGGGTCTATTTATATAGGAACGTACGAGGTGCGATCGGAAAGTTTCTAGACTGCGCCTATAAAAACCCGTACACTTATCTCAGGTATTAAATTCATCCATCACCCTCGAAGTAGTTCCCCTGGGAGTGAACACAACGATCCCAGCGCCGCTGCCAAGCCTGGAAGCATCCCGGGAAATCTTTCTTTGTCAGCCTGTCAAGCACCATCTGCGATTCTGCCTGAATCTCTTCTATCGTCTCAAATCTCCTTCCCTTTAGCTGAATTTTCATCTTGGGGAAGAGGAAGAAGTCACACGGAGCTAAATCCGACGAATAAGGAGGGTGCGGGATGACGGCCATAGTGTTTGAGGCCAAAAACTGCCGAACTTTGAGGGCGGTGTGCGCTGGCGCGTTGTCATGATGCAGCAGCCAGTTGTGGTTGCGCCACTTT